TAGATGACATCAACTACCTAGATCAGTCACAGTCTGGTTTCAGGCCTGGTCACGGCACCGAGACCGCCTTGGTCGCCTTGGTGGATGACCTCCATAGAGAGACAGGGGGAGTGTGACGTTGTTGGTTCTCTTGGACATCTCAGTGGCTTTCGATGGTTGCTGATGACACGATAAATAAATAAAATAAATCATCATAATATTTAATTACTTATTAAGCGCCCTCCATCCAAGAATACTCTAGGTGATTTACAGCTAAATTGTAAAAGATAAAATACATACATGCAAAAATTAAAAATTAACAGAGATCGAATGCTCTAGTAAAAAGCCAGGTCTTAAGTGCTAGAGTAAAAGGCCCTAAGTCACGCATGGCTCTCATATAGGGCGGCAAGGAATTCCACAAGGCAGGGGCAGAAATAGAAAAAGCCCTGCGTCTGGTACTTTCCAAGTGCACTTCTCTAGGACCCGGTATATAGAGTAAGTTGCGTTGTGCTGGTTGTTGCGGCCTCCGATGATGGGAGAAGGAGAGGCGGTCCCTAAGGTACGATGGACCCTGGCCGTAAAGAATTTTAAAGGTCAGAACTAACATCTTATACAGGCCACGGTACTCAGTTGGAAGCCAATGTAAATGTTGCAGCACTGGTGTTATATGGCATTTCATGGGTGTTCTTGTGAGTAACCTGACTGCCACATTCTGAACAATACGGAGCTTTCGGGTCATAGACATCGGAAGGCCAACATACAGGGCCTTCATGTTGATGTTGATGTTGATAATGTTGTTACCCATCTCTCCTCAAGACTTGAGGCAGAGTCCAAGATAGTTTTAAAAACGTAAGACAATTAGAACACATATATTAAAAGACACAAGCCTATGATTAAAACACATTAAATCATGCATGCCAATAAATCATCAATTTAAATTCATAGTTCCAGATTGACTGGGTAAATCTGTCAGAAAAGTTAGGTTTTTAATTCTGTTTTAAATTCTGACAGTTCGTTTAGCTGTCAAATCTCTTCCGGCAGGTCATTCCACATTCCACAGGTTAAGAACTGGAAATTGTGTATTTAAAGCCTATTTACTGCATTGTTAAACATGATGCATCTATGTATTGTCGAAGACTTTCATGGCTGGAATCGCTGGGTTGATGTAGATTTTTCGGGCTATATGGCCATGATCTAGAAGCATTTTCTCCTGACGTTTCACCTGCATCTATGGCAAGCATCCTCACCTCACAACCTTTGAGGATGCTTGCCATAGATGCAGGCAAAACGTCAGGAAAGAATGCTTCTAGAACTTGGCCATATAGCTCAAAAAACCTACAACAACCTAGTGATCCATCTACCTCATTCTGTTCTTTGTCAAATTCTAAGGAAAATGTTTTTAAAAATAAGGTGAAAATGGACACCTGTGCTCCTTCTTATAGTTACTTGCACTAGAACTCCAGTATGCTGATGACAACGTCGTCTGTGCGCAAACAGAAGAAGATCAACAAGCCACTCTAAACACCTTCGCAGAAGCATACAAGAAGCTCAGCCTGTCATTGAACATCGAGAAAACCAAAGTGCTGTTCCAGCAGTCACCAGCCAATCCCTTTCCAATGCCAGGAAATGGTGTAACATTAAAAAATGTTGACCATTTCTGCTACCTTGGCAGCCACCTCTCCACCAAAGTCAACATCGACACCGAAATACAACACCGCCTGAGCTCTGCAAGTGCAGCAATTTTTCGAATGAAGCAAAGAGTGTTTGAGGACCGGGACATCCATAGGGATACCAAGGTGCAGGGTCCTCCGAACCCTGCTATATGCCTGTGAAATGTGGACTGTCTACAGATGTCACATACAACTCCTGGAATGATTCCATCAGCGCTGCCTCCGGAAAATCCTGCAAATCTCTTGGGAAGACAAGTGGACAAATGTCAGCATGCTGGAAGAAGCAAAGACCACCAGCACTGAAGCGATGGTCCTCCGCCATCAACTCCGCTGGACCGGCCACGTTGTCCGGATGCCCAACCACCATCTCCCAAAGCAGTTGCTCTACTCCGAACTCAAGAATGGAAAACGGAATGTTTGTGGGCAGGAAAAGAGATTCAAAGATGGGCTCAAAGCCAACCTTAAAAACTCTGGCATAGATACTGAGAACTGGGAAGCCCTGGCCCTTGAGTGCTCCAGCTGGAGGTCAGCTGTGACCAGCAATGCTGTAGAATTTGAAGAGGCACGAATGGAGGGTGAAAGAGAGAAACGTGCCAAGAGGAAGGTGCGTCAAGCCAACCCCGACCGAGACCGCCTTCCACCTGGAAACCAATGCCCTCACTGCGGGAGAAGATGCAGATCAAGAATAGGGCTCCACAGTCACCTACGGACCCACCAGAACACTGATCCTGGAAGACTATCCTACTCGGCCAATGAGGTATCGCCTAAGTAAGGAAATTACTTGCACATACAACCAAAAAGTGTGCTACAGAGTACTTAAATGGGACATGAAAACTATTCTTTCCTGAGTTTTGATTCTTAGTGCAGGACCAGATTTCTCATTTCCTTCAGCCAAGAGTCATGCTTTTTAAGCAGCAGTAATCCCAAGTAGATGCGGTGCAGAAGGGCAGACAAAAAGGAAAAACATGGAATGTCAATCAGCTACAGCTTTCCTCCTCCATCTACACACATTTCCCTTTACTGCAGAACTGCAAAAGAAACATACTCCTTGTTAACCTTTGCATCTGGTGCTAGAAAGCACATTTGGTGCCAGCGCACGAAAACAATCTGCTCAATTTTCTAGTTCAGAGCTTTCCAAACTGTGTTGCGACAGGTTAGTGCGTCAGCTGCAGTGTGCAGGTGTGTCACATGAACGTAAGGAGAAACCTCTTGGTTTACGTGAAATAAGCAAATAACCATATATTTCCAAAAACCGAAATGAAAGGTTTTCATGAGATATATTGTGTCCCCATTCCGTTCTTACAATGCATATTATGTGTCCGAATATCTTATAAGGGGTCCATTTAATTTCCAGTTTCCTAGTAAAACTGAATTACTGTGTTATGAAATAAAGCAGGTCATAAAAGCTTGTCATCAACGTGAAGCACTTGGTTCTAGTTTCTCAATAGGAATGGATTTGTTCTGGGCCTGCTTTTGATCATGCAGCAAAATCCTGGTCTTCTGCTTTTAGGAGCTGTCCCGATTTTACACAAGGCTTTCCCCTTGACATTTTAAGGCTGGCTCTACACTGCCCCATATCCCAGAATCTGATCTCAGATTATCTGCTTTGAACTGGATTATATGAGTCTACACTGCCAGATAATCTGGGACAAGAAGATAATCTGGGATCAGATTCTGGGATATAGTGCAGTGTAGATCCAGCCTTAGGGCCCTTCCAGACAGGCCCAATATCCAAGGATCTGATTCCAGGTTTTCTGCTTTAAACTGGATTATATGAGTCTGCACTGTCAGATAATCTTGTTTAAAATAGAAAACCTGGGATAAGGGACTTGTCTGGAAGGACCCCCAGTTTTCCTCTTTTAATCAATACAAGGCCAGTATCACCTGCCTGATGCCCTACACATATAGGGGACCAGGGCAAGAATGTACCAGATTCAGGATGACCACTTAGAATCATAGAATCATAGAGTTGGAAGAGACCTCGTGGGCCATCCAGTCCAACCCCCTGCCAAGAAGTAGGAAAATTGCATTCAATGAAACCCCTGACAGATGGCCATCCAACCTCTGTTTAAAAGCCTCCAGAGAAGGAGCCTACACGTTCTTCCTAATGTTCAGATGGAATCTCCTTTCTTGTAGTTTGAAGCCATTGCTCCGTATCCTAGTCTCCAGGGAAGCAGAAAACAAGCTTGCTCCCTCCTCCCTATGACTACCTCTCACATATTTATACACGGCTATCATATCTCCTCTCAGCCTTCTCTTCTTTAGGCTAAACATGCCCAGCTCTTTAAGCCGCTCCTCATAGGGCTTGTTCTCCAGACCCTTGATCATTTTAGTCGCCCTTCTCTGGACACATTCCAGCTTGTCAACATCTCCCTTCAATTGTGGTGCCCAGAATTGGACACAGTATTCCAGTTGTGGTCTAACCAAGGCAGAATAGAGCATGGGTAGCATGACTGGATCTAGACACTATGCTCCTATTGATGCAGGCCAAAATCCCATTGGCTTTTTTTGCCACCGCATCACATTGTTGGCTCATGTTTAACTTGTTGTCCATGAGGACCCCAAGATCTTTTTCACACGTACTTCATTTTGTATCTTTGCATTTCATTTTTTCTGCCTAAGTGGAGTATCTTGCATTTGTCACTGTTGAACTTCATTTTGTTAGTTTTGGCCCATCTCTCTAATCTGTTAAGATCGTTTTGAGTTTTGCTCCTGTCCTCTGGAGTATTGGCTATCCCTCCCAATTTGGTATCATCTGCAAACTTGATAATCATGCTTCCTAAGTCATTAATAAAGATGTTGAACAGGACCAGGACAGAACCCTGTGGCACTCCAGGATGAAGAGGAATAATAATAATAATAATAATAATAATAATAATAATAATAATAATAATAATAATAATAATACTTTATTTATACCCCGTCACCATCTCCCCAAGGGGACTCGGGGCGGCTTACATGAGGCCATGTCCATCTATACAATTTACACAAATTACAGAAAAACACAACAGAATATCAAAGGAAACACTGGTGAGCACCCTCTGGGTTCATCTGCTCAACCAATTACAGATCCACATAACTGTGATGTCAAAGGATGTTGGAAATGTTATAAGATGACTGATGATGTCATTAAACATTATATATTAAGCATCAACCCCAGTGGAACAGGATCTGCCATTCAAATAAAAATCATAACAATAATAATGATAATAACAGGTCTGACAAATGAGCAACACACACACACACACAAATACTAGCATACTTCAGAGTAGCGTTCTTGCCCTCGTTGTTGGAGAAGAGTGGCCAAGCCTTGAAATCTGGGACCCTACCTGCTCTTGATGGCTCTCTTACCTTTGTAGCAGGCAATATTCAGAAAGAGAGCTGTCTGTCTGTTCCAAGCTGGGTGTTATGGGTGTCCCTTTGAGGGGGTCTTCCGTCTTGCTCGGACCCCCCAAAGTGTAGAGAGATCCCTCTCCACAGCCCCCAAAGAGCAACGTCAAAGAAGAGGCATCTTTTTGTTTGAATCTTTCCAACTTAGCAGGGCCCGGCTCGGCTCCAACCGCCTTTGTATGTGTCTATGAGTCAAAAGACAGAAGAGGTGGAAGAAAGACTTGCCGGAGCTGGTCAGGCCGGTTTGAGTTCAGAGAAAGCTGAGCAGCAGCCAGACCTGGTCAAAAGGAGGCAAATTTCACCACCAGTGATTCTGGGTCCTGGTGCCCTTGAAAACCTTTCCCCCTCTTCGTGGGCCACAGACGTTATCAGCTGCCTGGCTGAATTATTTACCAGCATTCCTGGGCTGCCTTGTTTGGTTACCGGCCTGTTTTGTCTCCTTTTCTCTTTATCCCACTCCCTGGAGCGCACATACACACATGTACAACGCCAGCACCCCATCCTCTAGCCTGGCAAATGGAGAGGACAGATGTCACCTGCTTCACATAGTACCAATTTTTTTACCAAAATAACATCTACATATAGCCGTTTACTATTATTAACCTGAAGCATTCCTACCTTTTTGGGAAACTCACTGGATTGTACCTGTACATACAGGCTGATCATCCCTTACCCATGATGCTTAGGTCCAGAAGCATTTCCCAGATTTTGGCATACTTATACACAGAGGCGGCCCTAGGTCATTTTCAACGGTAAGCAAACAGTATTTTGCCCCCCCCCCCCCAAACTAATCACTGATATATATTTTCTGTTCGCCGTGGGAGTTCTGTGTGCCATCCTTGGTTCAATTCCATCATTGATAGAGTTCAGAATGCTCTTTGATTGTAGGTGAACTATACATCCCAGTAACTACAACTCGGATATGTCAAGGACTATTTTCCCCCAAGAGCGCCTCAAGAGCGCCCCTGGGCAAAATCAACTATACTGCAAATGCTTACTTTGCGTAATGGGTTGAGCCGCCCCTGCTTATTCAGACCATCCCCAAGTTACGAACAARATAGGTTCTGAAGGTTTGTTCTTAAGTTGAAAGGTAAGGTAAAGGCAAAGGTTTTCCCCTGACATTAAGTCCAGTCGTGTCCGACTCTGGGGGTTCGTGCTCATCTCCATTTCTAAGCCGGAGAGCAGTGTTGTCTATAGACACCTACGGCATGACTGCATGGTGCACCATTACCTTCCCGCCGGAGCAGTACCTATTGATCTACTCACATTTGCATGTTTTCAAACTGCTAGATTGTCAGAAGCTGGAGCTGACAGCGGAAGCTCACACCGCTCCCCAGATTTGAACCAGCAATCTTTTGATCAACAAGTTTAGCAAGTCAGCGGTTTAACCCACTCCACTTAAGCTGAATTGAGGATACCTGCCATAGATGCAGGTGTAAAGTCAGGAGAGAATGTTTCTAGAAGATGGCCATATAGCCCGAAAAACCTACAACAACCCAGTGATTCCGGTCATGGAAGCCTTTGACAATACATTTCATTTCCTTCTCTCCACATAACACACCCCATGTACATGTCAACTTCATTCCTCTGAGGAATGAAGGATGTTTTGCCCACATTTTTCAAAGTCTTTAAGGTACCACAAAACTGTGTGTCAACAGACCGAGATGGCTATTTTTGCTAAAACCGGTTCCACCCATAAATAATTGTAATTCAAACACTTACAACATCCTTGCAAACTTGTGTAACAAATCCTTCATAACATAGATGGACCGGAAAGAAACACAAAGGTGCGTCACTAATGAATGATCGATTCGTTTCAGAGAAAAGGGGGCACTTAATTTTTTCCCTTATGACTGGTTTTCCATCTTGGTTCCACATAAGCCAGTTGGCGTTGTGGTTGGAGGACTGGACTACAATTCCTGAGGACAGGGTTCGAATTCCTTCTCGGACATGAAAACCCACTGGGTGACCCTGGGCAAATCATAAACCCCCAGAAAACCCTGTGAGAGAGTCTTCTCAACAGAAACAACTTAGATAACAAAGGAATTTGGGAGATGAATTTATTGTCCCATGCATGCCTCAAAATCCTGCCCACAAAGCAGGGATACTTAGGAAGTTAGTTTGTTGGGAAAGAAAAAGACACAACTGAACCCATTCCAAATAGTTTCGGATGCCGCCTCTCCTCTTTTAATAATTGAATATTTGGTTCACTCGCAAAGCCAACATTTTGTTAGTCCCTCAGCCACTCAGTCCAGAGTTCAGATGTTGCCCTTTCACAACCTGAAACTCATTCTGAGAAGGAAGCATTTGAGGCTCCAGCAACTCAAGGCCCTTCTACACAGGGTCTAAAACACAGGAAAAAAAAACCTGGATAAAAGGTGTCGCTAAATGATGTATCACGAAAATGTACGTTGATTCGGATTAACAGCTGAAAAACACACGTTAAAAAGGTGCACTTAAAACCCAATTTCGGCTGAAAAATGTGCATATTTGCATGACTGTATATTTCTGTAGTCAAGGGGAGCATGTGATTTTTGTATACCCTGGTGTGGAGTGCTCCACTGCATATGCACATTTTAAAATCCCGAAACAGCTGATCTGGGCTGTAAATAAATGGAACCATAGACACACAGGTGGCTAAATGGAAGAACAAATGGAAAGCAATTACATCGAGAACATTCCTTTGTTCTGACATGGAACAGAGCTTGACTTCACAGGAGGGTGAGGAGAAGTAACAAGAAATCACCTTGTGTGTACATTTAGATATCCAAATGAGCCGACATGAGATCCAGCACATCTCAGAGGGTCAATTTGTTTTTAAAAAGGAAATTTCCAGCAGATGTTCCGCGCCCATCGTGCGAATTTCTAAAATCCATTACAAATGAAGATGTCAGGACTGTGGGGGACCATTTACTGGGACTGACAAGTCTGTGTTTGGACTTGCTGTCAGGTATCACAATATTTTGTTCCATCTATTTGTTCCACATTTTGACGCTGTCTGGAAGCGCCCTCATTCCCTCAGCAATTTTTGATGCTACTATGTGGGGCAGCCTCCTTGGGGTTCTGCTTAACACATCAGGGAAAGTGCGGCTTTCCAGAGGTTTGGGGGCTGTGGGTCCTATCATCCTTCACCATTGGCTGATAGGAGATGCAGTCTAACAGCGTCTAGAAGACTTACTCCTAGTAGCTTGAGGGAGGTTACAAGTTAAAAACACATAGGACATAGATAGCATTTCCAATTGTGAGGAATTGTGGCAGTCTTTGAAGAGAGGGATACAAATTGCCATTCCTGATTTGAGTCAGTTTAAAGTTTAACTACTACACAAATTGACAGAATATTAGAAGCAAGAGAGTCCATAGAAAGTTGGTGTCTCCATTATCGATCTATTGATAACTGGCCACTTTTAAACTTTTTAAATGAACTAACTATAGGTATCTGAATTCCAAGTATCGTATAACAATAATAATCATAATCATAATCTATATAAATAAAAATGTAATGTTTGTTTGTGGGATTAACAACTCAAAAACCATAGGACGAATTGACACCAAATTTGGACGCAATACACCTATCAGGCCAACAAGTGACCATCACTCATCAAAACACTGGAAAATACAGCAGAAGAGACTTAAAAAGGCAAAAATTAAAAAATACATTACAACGCATGCATATAACCACATATATACAAACATAAACACACACATCACTCATAAAAACACTGGAAAACACAGTGGAAGGGACTTTAAAAGCCAAAAAATAAAAAATACATTACAACGCATGTGCAAAATCATATATATACACATATACACAAATATATATACATGCAAACATATATACAAAGACTGGGCCACAGCAATGTGTGGCAGGGCACGGCTAATGATGATGATGATGATGATGATTTAATTTCTCAGCCACCTCTCCTTGTGGCTCGAGGTGGGTTACAACATAGCTATAAACTACATAATTATCATAAACATTATAAAATGCACTGACTAAAACCTATTTCTACACATACATATATTAAAATACACAGAACAAAGATTAAAATACAGTGAACACAAGATGCAAATTTAAAATTCACGATTAAAACCTGATTAAAATTAATGAGACGGAGTGTATGATGGTTAAGATTTTGGATTTTGTTCAGGTCTGTCTGGCTAGTCTGGTCTTAGGGAGAAGGCAGTGAACCACAGTTACTCCAGAGGTCTTAAAATGTAACTCACACAATCCCCTATCATACGCAATTCTGGCTGAGGCTTTTGGGGGTTGCTGTCCAAATGGCCTAGAGCAGGGGTCTTCAAACTATGACGCGAGGGCCAGATACGGCCCTCCAAGGGCCGAGAGTGTGCCCGGCCCTTGCTCAGGATCAACCTAAGTCTGAAATGATTTGAAAGCACACAACAACAACAACAATCCTATCTCATCAGCTAAAAGCAGGCCCACACTTCCCACTGAAATACTAATAAACTTATATTTGTTAAAATTGTTCTTCATTTTAGTTATTGTATTGTTTTAAAGTGTTTTTGCACTACAAATAAGATATGTGCAGTGTGCATAGGAATTCATTTTTTTTTCAAATTATAATCCAGCCCTCCAACAGTTTGAGGGACTGTAAACTGGCCCTCTGTTTAAAAAGTTTGAGGACCCCCGGGCTAGAGTCTAGATAACTAAGGATCTGCCAGCCCTGCCTTCTAGGAAGGGCAATAAACCTCTATTAAAGCATATGTTTTATGCGTCAAAGATGCTAGTTTGAATCCCTATTATTCCCAGAGAATGATTGCCTTTCAGACTGAACTGGAGGAATTAACGTTATCCAAATAGTTTCTCACTTATGTCAGCCCTTCACAGAAGCTGGATCTACTCCACACTATATCCCAGGATCTGATCCCAGATTATCTGCTTATCCCAGATTATCTGACAGTGTAGACTCATATAATCTAGTTCAAAGCAAATAACCTGGGATCAGATCCTGGGATATAAGGACAGCGTAGAAGATGTGTTTGTGGGGTTGCCCTTCCTTCCTATGAGGCTGAGAGAGTGTGCCTTGTCTAATGGATTTCCGTGACTGAGTGGAGATTCGGATCATAATCTCCAGACTCTGAGTCCACCGTTCAAACCACTATACCACACTTATTCTCATAATAATGGTCTGATTGGGCTTAAACTCTTCTGTATTCCTAGAAATTTTCTATCCAGCAAGATTTGTAAGAGGCAGAGAATGTCTGGACATTGTGGAGGAAAGACTAAATACAAAGGCAGCCTCTAAATCAGGGGTCCTCAAACTAAGGCCCGGGGGCCGGATACGGCCCTTCAAGC